AAGCAAACAAAGGGCAGTGGGCCCGGCCCCCCCACGGGCCACCGCACAGGGTCCTCCTCTTGTCGGAGCCTCCAGGAGCCGCTGGAGTGTTTTGGGGGTAATTGAAAATGTCGATCTTTATTCTGGAGGATAAACAGGGCACAGGGACGCGGGGAGCAAGAGGGAGAGCAAGAGAGAAGGGAGAGCCGGAGGGAGGCAGCCTTAGAGGGGAGGAGAGCCAGACGGGAGAGCATGGGCACGGAGAGGAGGGAGGGGAGAAGCTGGGAGGAACGGGATGGCGGGCAGCCTCTGCCTCCAGGGAGCCAGGGATGCAGCTTCTGACCCCCACCAGGAATCCGGGGGGGTATGCCCTCCAACCAGCTCCCCCACCCCCGCGAGGCCCAGGACCTAGGAGCAGGAGAGCTGGCGGCCCTGGAGGTGGGGGCTGGGCGTCTCTGAGTGCTGGGGGGCAGGGAGAAGGGATCTGGTTTGTCTTCGTGGGCCACAGCTCCCAACCAAGTGCACCCTGTCCAGAGGCAGGATGCTAGCCAGCAGCTCCTCTGACCCCAGGGTTGGGAATGACACCCCAGCTCCTTCCTGAGCACAGACCCTCCCCACCTCCCCTCCCACAGCCCACCGCCTCTGCACCTGTGCACGTGCGGGGAGGGGAGGCCGACATTCTCATGGTTTGTCTACCGTACCTCTCCAGGGCAGTGGGGGACGTGGGTGAGCCTGAGTGGACGTGGGTATGTGCATGAGATAAAGCAGTGCCTGGAGAGAGAGGAGTGTGTATGTGAGGTAGTAAAAGGCATGTGTAGTGTGTGGTGTGGTGCCTGTGTGCATGTGCAGTGTCTGAGTCTATGCCTCTCCCTGTACGTGTAGTATAAGGTATGTGTTTGAATGTGTCTGGTATCAGGGGTGTGTGTGTGTAGAGTAAGGTGTGGTGTCTGTGTGTTTGTGTATGTGTGGTACCTGTGTGCGCATGTGAGTACACACTGTAGAGAGTGCCCGTGTCTTTTATCCATGTATATGTGGGTAAGGGACATGTGTTTGTGCCCAACCCCTACCTGTGTGCCTGTGTATTGTACATCAGTGTGTCCCTGCACACAGGTCCCGTCTTTTGCTCCTGGCCCAGGATTACTGTCCCCCTAGCTCCTGGCAGCCAGAGTGACAATTGGCTCTCAGGGTCTGTCCAGCAACAACAGAATGACAAAGACCAGCCCACCCCACCCCCAGCCAGTGCCCAGGAGGATCATGTGACTGTAGTTTTACCACCAAGGCCTGGTGGAGGTGACCCACGGAGCCCAGGCATCTCCCTGCCCCTGAGGGGAGGGAGGGAGCTCCAGTGGGCCCCCTGCCCTGCACTGAGCCTCATCTACCCTCCAAGTCTGCTCATGGCTGGAGAGAGCTGCTTCTTGTCCTCCCACCGAGCCACCCCTGAACTCCCAGAGGGCAGGGCTGCGACTTCACCATCTTCCAGTGCTCCCAGGCATAGCCAGAGCCTGGCATAGGGCAGGAGCTCAGCACATGTTTGTTGAATGAATGAATGGTCATGTCTGTGTGATCACGTGCCAGGCCCCAGGGCCTAAGTACCTGAGGGCACAGAATTAAGTCCTATAAGAATTAAACCAGGCGGCCGGCCCGGTAGTGTGGTGGTTAAGTTCGCGCACTCTGCTCTCTCGGCCCAGGGTTCGCAAGTTCGGATCCCAGGCACAGACCTGGGCACCACTTATCAAGCCATGCTGTGGCAGGCATCCCATATATAAAGTAGAGGAGGATGGGCATGGATGCTAGCCCAGGGCCAATCTTCCTCAGCAAAAAGAGGAAGATTGGCAACAGATGTTAGCTCAGGGCTAATCTTCCTCACCAAAAATAAAAAACAAAGAAGAATTGAACCAGGGCTTCCTGCCGGGTCAAGCTTGGCCCCCTGAGTTGTTCAGAAGGGGCAGCAGGGTCAGCACTCAGCCAGGCCTGAGAGGTCATGCCCACCAACCTTCTGCAGGTCACCTACCTCTGTGCACCAACACAGGGAGGCAAGGCCAAGAGACGGGGACTGCTTCGTCAAAAGGTTGATCCCAAGCTAAACGACCCTGTCATTTTGTGGGCTGAGACACAAGGAAAGCCCCATTCATCTTCCCTGGAGGCCGCATCCCCTTCTTGGCGGGGGCTGTCTCTCTTCCAAACATTTTCATCCCCAAAGAGTCATTCTGAACACTCCAGCCTCCTACTCTCCCTCCCTTAGGACCACAGACCCTCCCCAAGGGTTAGTTCTAGCTCTAGGGCTAACCTCCATTCCCTACCCACATCTGGTGGCAACTGGGGCCAGGCTGAGGGTCTGTCACAGCCTGAGCTATGGAGGCAAAAACTAAGATTTAGTCCTAATATAAGTCAAGGATCTCACCCCAGACTGAGCCCCGATCCTGGTCACACACTGAGTCCTGAACCTGCTCACACACTGAGCCCTGACCCTGCTCACACATTGAGTCCTGACCCTACTCACACACTGAGCCTCGATTCTGCTCACACACTGAATTCTGACCCTGCTCACACACTGAGCCCTGACCCTGCTCACACATTGAGTCCCGACCCTGGTCACACACTGAGCCCTGATCCTGCTCACACATTGAGTCCTGACCCTGGTCACACACTGAGCCCTGATCCTGCTCACACACTGAGCCCTGACCCTGCTCACACACTGAGCCCTGACCCTGCTCACACATTAGGTCCTGACTCTGCTCACACGCTGAGCCTCGACCCTGCCCACACACTGAATTCTGACCCTGCTCCCACACTGGGTCCTGATTCTGCTCACACACTGAGCCCCGACCCTGCTCACACACTGAGCCTCGACCCTGCTCACACACTGAATTCTGACCCTGCTAACACACTGAGTCCTAACCCTGATCACAGACTGAGCCCCGATCCTGCTCACACGCTGAGTCCTGACCCTGCTCACACTCTGAGCCCTGACCCTCCTCACACATTAAGCCCCGACCTTGGTCACAGACTGAGCCTGGATCTTTATTTAGAGACAGGCCATTAATTCATCATATGGCCAAAGTTATTTCCCTGGCCTGGGCCTCAGTTTCCTCATGTTTCTAATGGAGGGCCTCAGGATGGGCTAGGCACTAAATCAGAAAACCCCTGTTCAGAGGGTGGTCTGCACTTCCCCTGACCTGTGAGGCAGTAGAGCATCAGCTGCTGCCACTTGCTAGCCCCCACCCCCGCCCACCGCTTTCAGCCCAAGCATCACTAATTTTTGCAGCCGCTGTGATAAATGGCATTGTCGGCAAAATGACATCTTTCTAATCTGCCGCAAGACAGATGGGTCCCCAAGCTCACTGGCACTCTCGAGCCTGCCCAGGCCAGCTTTGCTGAGCAGTGGGGGGAGTAGGACAGACACAGGACCCCAGGTCTGGGGCGTGGCATGGGATGGGGGAGGGAATTTTGGGCTCAGAGTCAGGTATGACCCTGCTGGGGTTTTCTACAAGCCCCTTTTAAAAATACTCAGTTCCTGTGATTTTTAATATTCCAAAGATAATCTCTGCTCCTTTCTGTCCAAAGTTAGTTCTTCAGTTCAATTTTCTTTTTAATTAAAACCTGAATATCACTCAAATTCTCAAGGATGAGCCATCAGACACTGGTTTGAGTGGCCTTTTCTTCTTGCCTCCCTCCGCTCTCTGGGCAGTGGCCACAGAAGAACGTGCTTCTGCCAGAGCCATGGGGTCTGGGGGATATTCCGCCTCCTCTCCTCCTTCCCTAAGCCCCTCTCGCTCCACACTTCTGCCTTCCATCCTGCCGTCAGCCGGAGGCTGCAGAGCAGGGGTAGAAGTCTGCTCACACCTCCTATGGCCCAGGAAGCTGGGAGGGGGCTGGTCCCAGGGTGGGGGCAAGTCAGCATGGGGGATCGGAATACCAAGAATTGATGAAGGGCAAATACAGCCCCAGAGACCCCAGCCCCACCCCCAGAGAGCTGCAGGAGCATTGGCACTTGTCTGCCCAAAAGCAGCCAAGCCAAAATGGGTGGGGGCTGTGGGCCCGGGCCTGGGCTCACGAGCGATGCAACACTGCCCCCTCCTGGCTAGTTTGTGGCTCCTCCTCTAACGGGCACCGCAGGGCTAAGCTGCTGAGGCTGGGGACACATAAGCAACTCTCCAAAGACAGCAGGTGACATGCAGACCCTCCTCCCAGCAGCCCGCACGGCCCCTTTGCCTCCTCCCTGATTGCAGCCTCCAGGTTCTGCCCATCCTGTCCAACCTTCTCTCACTGCCCAAAGACTCTTCTGAGAATACTGTGCCTTATCTAGCCCCATCACTGAGAACAAAACCTGTCCCCTCCAAGCTGCCCACGATCAGGTCCCCTCATCAGCCAGCCTCCTGCAGCCCAGGATCCTGTCACTCTGAGCCTCCCCCAGTTCCCTGCCCATGCACCCTTTGGTCCCACCTGCATGCCCTTGCCGTCATCTTTACCTCCACCAAGAGTACCCTCCCCTCTACACACTGTTTCTGCTCGGCCTCTTGGGTCCCCCACAGGAAAACTCCCCTCTCCTCCCATCCCAAACCAGAATGACCCCTCCGTCCTCTGCCTGCACCCACTTGGGTACTGACCACTGTCGGGGATCAGAGTCACACAGTTCTGGAACTGGAGGGAAATTGGACATCCTCTGGGCCTACCCCCCACCCCAACTGTCCAAAGGGCAACCCTGAGGCCCAGAGAGGGGCGGAAGCTGCACAGGCCACATGGCACATTAGTGGCAGAGTCAGGACTAGAACTCAGCTCTGCCCAGAGCTCCTTGGAGGACACGCAGCTGCCTTCCCTGGTGAGCCAGAACAGAATTTCTACCAGCAGGGACCCCTACGATGCCTCCCAGTATCCCAGCCCCTCACCCAGGGCAGGGCCCAAAGGAAGTAGCTGTGAGTGTTTGCAAAATGAAGGAATAAATAAATGAAAATATTTATCTAATGCCTCCTGTGCGCTGGACACAGCAGGCAGCAGCTCTGCTACTTGAAACCTTAGTAAGTTGCTCAATTTGGTATAGAAAAATAACCTCTGTGGGGAGGGGCGTGCTCCAGGAGGGGCCTCAGTCGTGAACATCAATGACCAGTGGGCACAGGTTGGGGGAGTGCTTGATGCCCATGGAGAAAGCCGGTGTGCGGGGCTTGTGCACCGTGACCCGCTGGATGTCGTGGGAGCCAGGGCCAGGCCGCGGCATGTGATCCATCGGGTAGGCGAAGCGCTTGGCCATGCTGTAGACGGGGCTGCGGTTCTGGTAGACGGACGGCTCAGGCCGGGCATGCGTGGCCGGCCCAGGGCCTCCTGCCACATTCTCCTTATAGAACCAGTTCTTGTTTGCAGAGGCCAGACTATAGCAAGGAGCAGCTCGGTGGATGGGGTTGTTAGGCCCCAGCAAGTGTGGCAGCTGGTACTGGTTGGGGGCCGGATTGGGGTCCATGACTCTGTATGGGCATCGGTAGCCAAAAGTGTGCTGGGGGGCCCTGCGTTCCCCAGGTGGGCGGGTCTTCTCCAAGCAGTAGTGGCAGGAAGCTGGAGTGGGGCTCAGGCCTGAAAGCAGGTAAATAGAAGGGAGGGGTCTCAGGGCGAGGGCCAGGCCACATCTCCTGGTGTCTGATTGGTGGGTCCAGGTAGGGAGCCGAGGTCTTGCTGAGCCTGACGTGACTTTACCATAAGCCCCTCAGCATCAAGCAGGGACATCATGACTCCTGTATGGGTCTATGGGCAGGGGATGGGATTTGGGTCATCTTGACATCAAGATTGTGACACTGTTGTCATAAAAACCACAAGTGTCATCAAACATCACGCTTGGGCTGGCAGCCTTCTGACATTGTCCCTGTGACAGCACCAAGAAAACATCCTGAAATCACAACAGTCCATGAGCTCATTAGCATGACAATATCGCTGCCATGACATGAGCTCTGCGACATTTTTATCATCACGTCACCCGGCAACATACTTGCATAACATTGGCTTCAAGACATAAGTCCTGTGACACAGACATGGTGATGTCAGCATGGTGACATCGGTGTCTTGATGTGACACTGTAGGGAGTCGCCAGCATCCGCAGACACACCTGGAGGGGAAGTCCTGACCCTTTGCGCTGCTCAGGTCCTGAGGGTGGACCCCCATCCTCCCACCTCCCAGCCCCCCTCCCCATCCCATCTTACGCAGGTTAGAGATGCGCTCCTGCATGGGGACCTGTGGGCAGCTGGACATTCCAAACCGAGTTATTTTGGGATCCAAGAAATAGCAAGGCCCAGGGCTGCATATGTCCATAATCCCTGCAGGGCAGCCAACGAGAGGCCCAGTCAGCCCCAGAGGCCGCCTCCACGGCAAGCCAGGCTTGCTCCAGGCGAGATTCCCTCCCCCAAGAGAGGAACAAGGGCTCCCTCCGATTCCCTGGGTTCTTGGGTGTTTCAGGACCCTGATCTCCTCATCTGTGAAATGGGGCTTTTAATCTCTGACCTGACATCCTCAAGAACCTGCCCAGAGGAACAGATAAAATAACAGCCACACAGCAGCCTGGGCAGCCCTACCAACAGGGGTAGGTGCCAAGGGGTAATAATAGGCACAGTGGCTCTTGTTAGTGTTCAGCGGGGGCCGGGCCAGGCTGGGGAAAGGTATGTCACCCAGGGAGGGCCCTAGCAGACACTCTAGATCTCAGACCCCCAGATATACACCTCCACCCCTGCCCAGCCTCTCCTCTCACCAGCCTTGGCCAGCAGCCCCAGGTCTCCTGTGGCCCTCTGATCCCACCCTTCCAGAGGATTCTAAGCTACCCGGGAAGCTTTGGGGGCCCCCACCCCCACCACATTCCCTCCACTCCAGCTATTCCTGCCCAGCCACTGTGGCAAGTGAACCCCTGGCAGCCAGACCTGAAGGGCCCAGCCAAAGATCAGACAGAAAGGAGACCCTGCACTGTCAGCTGGATAGCCACAGTGTCCCTTCAAAGCTCCCTTGGGAGGTCCAGCTGGGAGATGCCCACAGAGTTGCCTTCAGAGGGGGTGGGTCACTTGGGCCTTCCTGCTGCCTTCTTCTAGACCCACTGGACCACCTGGGTGTCCCTCTCAAGGCAGACCTGGGTTCCCGGGGGACCTGCAGCTACAGAGAATGTCTCCCTGCTTCTCACTGCCGCCCCAGCCATCCAACAATAGTAACCCCACACCCAGGGGTGATGGGCGTGGTGAGCACTCACGCTTCTCCGAGTGCCGGGTGTGCAGCGTGTAGGCTGGCTCCTGGAACATGGAGACATCATGGCCTGTGTCGCCCGTGCAGGATGGCCGGAGGTACTTGGCAGGTCCCGGACCTGTGAGGACAGATAAGGCAGCCCTCAGCCTAGGCCCACGGGATCAGAGGCAGGGAAGCCCCAAAATACAGTGCGCCATGAGAACATCGGGGTCTTTGCTCCCACTCATGTCACACTGCCACAAATGCCACCATCAAGCTGCTTCCTTTGGGGAAAGGCAGTGTTCCCAGAAAAAATCACAATTTCTCTTGGACAGACAATGCATAGTAAGAAAGGTAATAGTTACAGTTAACTGAGAACTTATTCTCTGCCAAGTACTATACTAAGTATTTCACGTGGATGAGTTCAGTTAAGCCTCCCGACAACTCTGAAAGACAGCCACTATTGTTTTTCCCCTCTCACAGATGAGAAAATTGAGGCTTGGAAATATCAATCTGCCTGAAGTCACACAAGCTGGTAATGTGACAATTCTGAGACAATCAGCCAACAGAGCCCAAACATTACACCATCTTCCACGTAGAGCAACGGTCGGTCAGTCATTAAACACGTAGTAAGAATTAGTTTGTCTGCTTTCAGTTGAGAGTAAGATTCAAGGGAAGTGAACAAAGCTACAGCCGGGCTCAAGCCTCCACTGAATCCCAGGCCTTTTTCCAAAACTGGCCTCTCTTCATGCCCCTCCCTCTCCTACCACCCTGAAAATTCCCAGCAGCTAATACTGCCTGAGAGGTTCAGCTTGGAGGTACAGACCCTCTGCAGGCTTCAAGGAGAGTCCGCAGGGGCTTTGCAGGAGCAGGGCTGGAAGGCTGGGACACCTTCAGCAGCCCGGCAGAGAGAGGTGCGGGCCCAAGGTCAGGGCGGGGGCTGCTCTCACCTTTGAGCATCGCCATAATCACAGGGATCTGCTTTACCTCCTGCCATGAGGGCACCTGCACCTTCTCCTCCGGGTGCTGCCCATAGAACACAGAGTTCCCAGCCCCCTTGGGCAGTTTCATGGCTGGGGCTGAGGAGGGACCAATAGCAGAGATCTAAGAGACAGGCAAGGAGCTGGGCCTGTGTGGGGCCTGCTCCAGGTGCCCTGCCCAAGCCCCGGTGTCCACTGTCTCTCCCCCACTGCAGGGGCTGCGTGGGGGCTGGGAAGGAGGCTGGGCCTCCAGCCTGAGCAGTGAGGCCGTCTGGGGTGCAGCCAGCTGCAGGGCCCAGCAGGCTGGAGCTGGGGGTGACATCACCAAAGAACTTGGACTGTGAAACACAGAATGTTTATTTCCCCCAGTTGCCGTGGCGCCTGAACTATGGCGAAGAAATTCTACACTGGCAGCTCAGCTGTGGAACCCTGAGAACTCAGCCCTACTGCCCCCTAAATAGCCTGAGGGTCCCCGGGACCCTGAGTCAGGGAAGGGAAAGGGAGAGGTGAGGTGCCAGAGCCTGCTCTTCTTTCCTGGTGGGCGCCCTGAGGTTGGAGAAGGGATCGGACAGAGTGGGCGGGTCACCAGTGAAGGGTTCCTGCAGCCCGCACAGCCCCCTGGGGTGGCCCTCTACCCCCACCCCTCCCACCTATCCCCCAGATTCTGGACATGCCCTCCCTTCTATCAAAGTCTGGTTTTCCTTGGGAAAGAATCAAGCCAATTATTTCGCACTAAGGTGCCACTGTCTGACAGCTTCCCAGACGGACGCCCACCCCGGCGCACGGGATCCTTAGAGATCCAGGTCCAGCTCAAGGAATACTTGCCAGCTGGTGGCATTCAAGCAAGGAATGGGGAGCAAATAAAGGAGGACGGAGGGTGACACTGAGGCCTTGAGAGGCCACTTCCGGTGCCTGTGGTCAGGAGCACCCCTTAGGGGGAGTACGGGAGGAAACAGCGAGGGGTAGGGAAGATACTCAGCTGCCGTGATTGAGGGATGAGCCCCAGGGCTGAGGAAATGCTGCAGACCCCTTCACCCCTAAAAGCCCAGGAGGTTGGGGGCCCCAGGGCCTGCTTGCCACGCCACCCCCCAATTCATAGCTCAGATTGGGGATTTGATCTGAACCAGGTAAGAGGGTTTCCATCTTGGGAAAATGTGACTGCTGGCTTTAGAGAGGGTGTCTGTCATGGCCGCAGGACACAGATAAGGAACCTGAGGCCCAGAAAGGGACAAGGACCTGACCAAAGTCTCCCATTACAACAGTAGCAGAGATGGAACCAGGGTACAAACCGCAGGGCTCTCTTTGGATTGTAGCCTCTGATCTAATGGAAACCAAACCATGCTCTGGACTCGTCCCAACCAGCAGGCGCGATGAGAACTCGGAGCAGACGAGCCAGACATATTGGGCGCTCTGGAAGACCCTTGTGGGACCGAAAGGCTGGGAACAGAGGGCAGGGTTCCCTTCCCGCCAGCAGCAGCAGACCTTCCTCTCCCTGCCCCTCCCATCACTATGGGGCAGCCAAACCTCCAATTTCTGCAGACGCGAAGACGGGCAAGGATGGGACTGGCCCAGCCTCAGCTGGCCGTGGGCCACGGGCAGTGCCGCCCTCTCACTCCCATCCTCGTCAGCTTTTCCTAGAGGAAGCTGTGGGCCTGCTGGGCCCGAGCCTTGATGGTCCCCTCATGCTGATAGGGGCCAGATGTGAGGCTGGGACCTCTACCTTCTGGGTCTGGGGGGGTCTCCAAGTATTTCAGACCCAGGGAGCCTTCCTGACACCTCGCTGCACTGCTCCTGTCATCCCTGTGGATGGCTCTCTTAGGGAAACTGAGCCACTCTACACTCCAGTGGGTCACAAGCCACTGCTCTTCTGCTCCAAATGCTCCCTTCCCTCCACCTATAATGGAGACCTAGCTCACCCCTGGAGACAGACCCTCAGCCCGCTCCAAAGCTGCTTCTTCCTTCTCTCACAACTCTGTCCCTAAGAGCCCAAGATGGAGCCAGTCCCTGGCCTCCTTGGTACCCAGGCAGTGCCCCTCCCTGTCAAAAGCACTGCTCCTGGGTGGTCCCAGTATCCACAGCGCCCCTCCGCATCTCCTCAGGGCTGCCATCTGTCCCGACTTGTAAGCCTGGCAGCCCTGGCTGGTGGTCTTCTTCCCCACTGCCCAACCCTGCCATTACCCCAGTGACATAGGCCTCCCCCAGGGACCACCCACCAATCCCTTGGCCTCCCAGTTCCCAGACCTCCTCATCTCCAAACACCTCCCCTCCACTCTCAGCTACCCTCCCCCAGCACATCCTGGACTTGTCATCCCTTCCCCCTACACTGACCACACACCTCCCTCTGGGACACCATCCATGTCCTTCCACTTCTCTCACTCTGGTACTCTCACTGCACACTGCCTGCCTATCACTGAGACCCCACCACTGACCCTGCACTGTCTCCTCATCCTTCAGTCCCCTCCTGCCTTCACTGCCCACCTCGTCCAGCTTCTGTCCTGGTAAGTCCAGCCCTGCGTCACCAGGTATCCCCTGTCCACCTGCACCGGCGGCTAAAAGCTGCTGGGAATAGTCTGAGGCCCGAAGCCTAGACTTGCTTCCATGCCATCCCACTCCCCACCTCCACTCTGGTCACCTTGCTCTCTCCCTCTATCCAGAGATCATTTCAAACCTGCCCACTCCGCTCTACAGGCCTGGCCCTCCCTCTAGCCCCCTGCTCTGCCTCCTCCTCAGCAGAGAAAACAGAGGCTTTCAGACTGGACTCTGACTCAAACCCTCCCCGCCACACCGTCAGAACTGGCTTCCACTGTCACCTGCTCCCACTTCCCTTCTGGGGCTTGGGAAGACCCACCAGGACCTTCTCCCATCTCCTCTGACCACTCAAGAACCTTCGTTCTCCATTGCCCCCTCGCCTTGCTTCAACCCCTCATCAACCCTTCTTATCACACTGTACATACCCCACATCCCTTCCATCTATTAGAAGCTATCTCCCTGGCTCCACATACCTCTCCTCAACCATCATCATCATCATCACCATCATCACCAGCATCATCACCACCACCATCATCATCATCACCACCATCATCACCACCATCACCATCACCATCATCATCACCATTATCATCATCATCATCACTGCCCGGATCCCTCTCCCCCAGTCCACAGACAAACTTCCCCAAAGAGACGTTTTCCCTCTTATCTCTGTTCTCTCCTCCCTTTCTCACTTTGACTCCCGCAGGCTGGCTTCAGGCCCATCTCTCCACCTAAACCACGACCTGCACGGAAGCAGCAGCCAAAGGACACTTTTCACCCTCGCCCGATTGGCCTCTCAGCAGCCCTAGACCAAAATGACTGACCACTCCCTCCTTCCTGCAGCACCGCTTCCCGGTTCCAAGATGTTGTCCTGGTCTTCCTCCCCTGTCCCTGCTGTCCCTTCACAGGCTTTCTTCCTGGCTCCTCTTCCTCACACTGACCTTTCAATGTTGGTGTATGTTTATTAATTGCAAAGGGAAAAACAGTAACTTTACAGAAAGAATGCTGGCAGGCACCCCCTCAGCCAAGTGACAGAAGTTAACACCACTGACAATGGGACAGCTGCATGCTGTGTACTTCCCCAGAGGAGGCATCGAGAGGGACACAGCCTCAGTTCTGTGGTGTTCCCATCAAAGGTGCACAACTAAATCCAATTATGAAGAAACCAGACAAACTCAAGTCAAGATTCACTCTACAAAATAACGGGTCTGTACGTGCCAAAAATGTCCCGAAAGACAAAGAAACACTGAAGGACTTTTCCAGATTAATAGAAACTCAAGAGATAGGACAACAAAATGCAACATCGGAGCCAGGATTTTCTTTTGCTGTCAAGGCTATTATTAGGGAAATTTGCAAAACCAGGAAAAAGTCTGTGGCTAGTTAAAAGATTTACACCAATGTTAATTTCCTGATTTTGATCATTGCACTCGGGTTATGAAAGAGAAGGTCCTTGTTCTTAGGAAATACACACTGAAGTATTTAAGGATAAAGGAGCATTATGTCTGCAACTTACTCTCAAATAGTTCAGGGGGAAAAATATATGTATATACATAGAGAGAAAAGAATTTTAAATGTAGTAAAATATTAACATTTGGGAAACTTGGGTGAAGAGTATGTGGGAAATATTTGTAATGGTCTTGCTACTTTTCTGTAAGTCTGAAATTACATCAAAAAAATTTAAAAGAAAAATATGTTGGTGTGTCATAGTTCAGTCCCGGGCCTTCCTCCCAGTTTACACCGCACTCTTCTGGCCTGGGCGGTCTCATCTCCTCTCGCTTCTTCAATCCCATTACCTGTACCCCAACAATTCCTGAATACACATGCCTCTGCTCAGACTTTCTCAGGAGCCTTAGACCCACATATCCGCAGCCTGCACACTGTCACCTGGCTTTCTCACAAGCACCTCAAAATCAACGTGCCCAAAGCTTTTCTCGTGCGATAACCTCTGTCCCTATTTATCTCAGTAAATGATGCCACCACCCATCCAAGTGCCCAAGCTGGAAATCTGGGCTTGTCCTGGACATCTCCCTTGTCCTCACTCCCCACATCCAACACTCAGCAAGTCATTTTGGGGAACTTGTGAGCACCCAAAGGCAGGGCTCCTGTCATTCACCGTTGTGTCCCCAGCCCCCCGACATGTGGTAAGTGCTTAAGAAATATTTGTTGAATGAATGAATGAATGAGTTGATCCATTGATTGATCAAGGAAACATCACTCTTCCTCATGGGAGCAGAGTCCTACTTTCTGAGTCCCAGACACATGTCCAGTCTGGCTCACTGGATAGCCATTTATAGTTGCACAAGTTTGTATCAGTTCTCTATTGCTGTGTAACAAATTATCCTCAAAACCTAAGAGCTTAAAATAGCAATAAACACTTATTGCATAAGTGTCTGTGAGTCAGGAGTTTAGAAGTGGCTCAGCTGGATGGTTCTGGCTCCAGGTCTCAGGAAGTGGCAGTCAACATGTTGGCAGGGGCTGCAGTCATCTGAAAGATTGATTGGGGCAGGGAGATCCACTTCCAGAACAGCTCATGCACATGGATGGTGAGTTGGTGCTGGCTGTTG